TTCACCAGAATAGGAACTTCTCTTACTTCGTGGAACTTCCACCTACTTGAGTTATTAAATTCTTTTTCTTCCTCGGATTTTTCATTTTAGTCTCCCTCGTCTTGAAAGCGCGGCAATCAGCACACACATTCGTAGACTTAGCAGCAAGCTTAAAAACAATGATTGGAAATACGAAGACTTCAGATGCAGCCTGACGCGCAAGTTCAGTTATAATCAAATATCTCCATTGTTGCTGTGATTGTATATCCTCAATCTCATGAGGATTCCTGCACGGAAGATCTTCGATGACGAGTTCCCAGGGCTGTGTCCGAGTGGTGCTCGTTCCGAATGGAAGATGAGAGAGATTGAAATCTCCAACCATCAAGTACTGAATGATGTTTTGGTTCATGACTTTGGCCCAGTTCCATTGCGGAGTTGGGAAGCGGTGGTTGGAGCGGCCCATGCTGGCGGTCATGTAGACTACGCGAGTGGGGATGTGGACCCTTGTCACGAGATCAGCGTTGATGCGATAGACGAGGGGGAAAGTAACGTGTAATGGACCGAGTACACTAATGGAATCTAACGCTTGGTTGTAATAGATTGGGCTGTACACCGGATCCAAAGAGATGTTCTTGTAATATCTCAAACCGATTCTCCGGCTATCTTTGTTCACGAGGAGAATAGAAGGAGTCCACCGAGTATTTTTAACTGGCAACAATCCTCGAGGGATTGGTGTTGTTCCAAGATGATCATAATTTCGGAAGCGAAGACGTCCATCTGTTGGCCTGTCCCCGAGAGTTCGTGGCTCAATTGTCATTCCCCAGATATTATCTTACAACTCCCCGGGAAGTAATACAAAGTACACGAATGTTTGTGGTTGTGTTGTCACATTGGTGACCCTTCGCTCTGGTTTGGATTCGACATCCAAGGTCATATCTGCGAGATCTTGAAAAGAATCCATGTTGAGTATGATATGATGACGAATTTTAGCAGGATCTTCCACTTTATATACTCAATAGTTGACATTGTTCTGCTCGCTGTTCATATTGTAATGCGCAAGTTATAGTTTGGTATTGATACTATTGTATATAAACATGGCCTTATAGCATGGTCCGCGTAGCATTAGCTATATGCAGATCAAACCGATTCTGAATTTACTACTGCTACGAGTGTTACTATTTGCTATAATATTATTGAAGATAGATCATCGCTCAAATCTTTTCACATAATAGTTTTTCGTTTAGTCTGTTTATTGTTCACATTGGAACACGAATCACAATTAGATAGCATAACGAATTCTTTATTGACATAACGAATTCTTTATTGATCTGGTTTTCGTTGTTCACGTTGAACATTGTAATGCGGAAATCATGGCTAGGCAGCTATAGTGTTTGCCGCAAGGAAATCAGAAATCGAACATTGCGCGCCAGGTTCTCCAGCTTTCTACATGACTTTTTTCCGTTTGATCTGGTTCTCGATAGGAAAATTCATTTCTCAATATTTGAGAAGCGTTGACTTGGCATTGATATCACTTGAATCAGACTTTGATATGATTGAACACGTAGGAAGGTAATTGTGGAGAAGAACAGGTAGATTAAATAGGGGAAAAGAAACATGGTTTAAGAAGATATTTTTTATTTTGTGATGTTATCGTAGCTTCCTACTTGTTTGCTACAGGAAAATTAAATGGTCAGAAAAGAAAAGGTGTACAAGATTGCTACACTGCAGGTTGACAGATTCCGAGTCCTATGATATTTTGAGAGACTAATGAAAGACGAACTACATCCTAATAAAAGCCGCCTTATCAACGCCATCTACCTTCTGCATGGCAATCATGACACATAGCTGGTCCTCTTCTCTGGGGGCGAACGATGACAATCGGTATCCTGACTTCAGGATAATGTTTATTTTCCTCTTGGAAAAATGTCGCGACTACTCCGTGAAGGAACGTACAAAACCCATCTTGGAACAATCTGTGACGTGGCGCCATGGGAATGTCACAAGGAGGATCCTCGACAATGACGTGTGTCAGATTCAGAAAAGGAAACGGGCCAACATGGGACAATCGCCATTCCTGGAGATACTTTTCGAGTGGTATTGAACGTTTCCACGTAACCGCATTGATACTCGGGATGATTTTGGATGGCACTGTGATGGATTGAATCTTGTCCACATTGCTACCAAGGTTTCTGATTGTGTCAGACATATGTCTTTCGTTATTGATATAGAGAGAATCTATACGAACATCGAAAAGCATTGGTGGCCACAAGACTGGAATAGTTGATCTGTCCCAAATATCTGGGTATTAGGCCTGTGTTATCGCACGACTGTCTTGGTTGATGTGAAGAGTGATGGGATAATGTTGATAGAGCTTATAAGGGAACGCGCGTGTGAGTCCTCTGGTTTCTGCTTGCATGATTGTTCGCCAGATCAAACGTCGGATGTCCTCGCACTGCTTGACAAAGAGACTCAATTCCCCTTCACCGTCCTTAACAATTTCGTGCTCTTGTGTCATTTTGAAGAGAGACTGTAAATAATCTATGGTAATTCTTCGTAAACTGTTTGGTTGTTGAATTTAATGATAGAGATCTAAATTACTGTTGATCTGTAGTTTCAGAAGTCTGCTGATGTTCCGAAAGCAAAATTTTAAACCCAGGGCTACGGTATTTATAGGTCTTAGAGTGGTCTGTTGTGACGTTGTTCAACACATCTGTTGTGGGTATGAGGATCTCGTTAAGTATAATGTGACATATGAGCCAATTGGAGCTACCCACACGAAATTATTTTTGATCAGAGGTTTTCCGTTAACCGCCAGCCCAGGTGAATAAAAACAAGACGATATGCATTGTTCTGCAGGAAATTCGGAAACTCAACCTGATAAACAGAACAGTAGACAATTTTCGTAGAAACCACACAGTGAAGATATAGGGTCTTCTTGACCCTTTAGGGCGTGGACTTGATGTGCGTTTTGGTTAATCAACTCATACCCGGGCCACCATATCTCTCGGCGAATAAACTGAAGCCTGGTTGTATATCTCAAACTTTTGTTCCAGTGTTCCATAGCAGATCATGCAAACGGAAAAATGTCTTTCCAGTTATATATTATATAAGCTTAATACATCTGAAAGATATCATCGTTTTGTGTTTCCAAGGTCATGATTCTTAGCAAACTACAATGAACAGAACATCACCACAACAAAAACAAAAAATGATAACGTAAATTATGCCAACTGTGTGTGAACAAGAGATGAACTCGCTGTTGGGCATTTGAAAATCTGACAATCGAAGAAAGGTTTAACTGTTTTCCGAAGCTTCCTAAGGAACTTCAACTGATGATCTGGAAACAGGCCATCGCAGATCTTGTCAGCTACAATCTGGTTTGATTAATCTATAATGTAACATAGCTCATAATCCCCGCATAATCCCCGAGATGTTTTCTGGTATCAACTGGTTGAGCCATAACGAAGTCAGGAAAGTTTATGAGAGATCAACCTATGATGGTCACATGCCAGCGTTGTCCTCCAGTATTCAATACGACTCTGTGTTGTTCATGGACTTTAAAGAACTATGCCTAGCAGCAATGATGATGCGGAAAATGTTGTGACTTTTATCCAATGTTCTGTCAGAATTTAAGATATTAGACCACCCTTGGTCGACAAAGATAGGTACTTAAAGCTCCAATGTAATGGTCGACGTTCTCCACACCACTGCTTGCTAACATTCATCATCTAAGACCTGCAATGTTTGCGAAAACATCGATTGCAAAAGATCACAGAGCAAATGCTCTACAAAGAAGCGGTTAGGCGGTGTTTTGTAAAACAACATCGTGCGTTTCCTCTGACCATCCACTTCCTCTGACCATCCATGATCCCGAAGATCATGATTAGAATTCCTCAACTGGGTAATAAACTGTGTTACGAATGCGAGAAGCCTGATGGTTGGTTGGCCATGCTTCAATTTACAAGAAATATTGCACAAATCAGCATTAGCGACCAGCAAACAAGTATACTTCAACAACTTCAGAAGGCAAGCAAGCAAGTTGGTCTAGACGACTTTGATGCTCATACTGCATGGCTAACCTCTTCAGGTACACGTATTTACATTCTCCCTCTGGTGAAAACAGGATAGGTAGATACGAGTAGACGCAAAACCATAAACGCGAATAATCAAATAAATCCAACAATTAATCCCCAAAATGTAAAGTGATACCAGTGACTACGAAAGTACTCGACTTTAACATTGTGATACCATGCTTCTAACTTTGACCATAGAACCTGCTAACAGAGTAGAACCAACCAATCTATCAATCAGGTTTTGATCGCAGTACTGGTGAATTGCCTGTGTATTTGCGCTCCATTCGAACTATCGAATTATTGAAAGCGTACTCCATATATGATCTCGTCATCTTAACATCTCTCTAATTTAGAACAATATCGTTGAGAAAAAAAGTCAAACACTTGTCTTGTGCATGGATAATCATCGTGAGATGAATTTATATTCGGCGCTTGCACACACGCGAAATTTCATCGGTCGGTCTGAGCTTACCTACTCTTGGCACTCTTCTTGTTTCATTGTCTTGTTTGTTCCAACCAAATTCCTCACCCAATCAACTAATCTTAACCGCCAAGAATTGATTCGGGACGGGAACCGGCTGTATAGTTCTATACTATGATTGCGACACCGAAGCTCCATCGAAGAAGAGAAACATACCTTGCGAAAGACTGATTGCAATGAATGGTCATTCGAATGGTATGGGAAAGGAGAAGGATCGATATGTACCTGTGAGGAGAGGGAGAGGGGGTTCCGGAAAATGGCTTGATGTGGTGGCGTACGGAGGTTTTAGTGCTTTGTTGGCGTTGATCTTGAAATATGCTGTCTCAGGTCAATACTGGAACCTAAACTTCTTCTTGCTGTCGCTCCAGGTATGTTCATTCGGCACAAACCTCCATGCACCGAGAGAATGAGAATGCGCCAACTGATCTTTGGGATTAATTAGTCAGGATGTGCCATCGTAGCAATATGGTTGCTGAAAAGGAGCGGATATCTCAAGGAATTGGCGGGGCTGGAGCTTCAGAAGGTGAAGACTTGTATGTGTTGCGCGACTTGAACGAATCGGAGACGGCAGATTCTAACGAGACATCTATGCAGGGCTTCCTCTATCGATACTACTCCTGGTCTCAAATTACATATCTTATAAAGCGCTCCAATGTCTATCATTACCAACATATATACTCCTCTCTACCACGACCATCTTCACAGTCCCCTACATCGATAGCATTTTGTTCGGAACGCCCATACCCCCTTTTGCGTTTAAATCCTACCTATTAATATTTTCCGGCATAATCATATCTGTGATTACGGAAAACGGGCATGCAGAAACAAGCTATGGGGACCGACGACTTGAGCAAACATTAGAACCTCAAGATCCCGTCATGATATTATTTCTTGGATATATATTCATGGCCGTCCATCTATTACTACACAGCACATATGAAGCGTGGAAGGCCAAGATTGTGTCGAATCTCCAATTTGGTCTATGGGACAGTATGTGTTCGCTCCTTCGAGCTCGTAAATAGCTGGCTAACATAACATGTGCTAGTTTTCCTATATAACCATGTCCTTATTTTTATCATCTCCTCGGCCCTTTCATTCATCATCGAGGATTTCTCGGCCGAGAATATGAATGATTGTTTCCCCTCCTCCATGCGAATTTCTACTATCATGGCCATCACGTATACCTGCGTCGGGATATTTCCCATTTTATTCTATTCCACCTCCATTGTGCGGAAAGCCTCGCAAGATTTCCACTCGGTAGTCGAGGCTTCGAGTAAAATGGCCATAGCTTTGTTGGGCTTAGTCCTGTATTCGCATCCGATCAATCTAGGCAGTGTATCAGCCATTGTGATTGGATGCTCCGGAGGTATCTTAGGAGCATGGTTAGAAGCCAGACACCAGCAAGATGTAAAAGGAAAGAGGGTCCTACCTGTTTAAAGGAAACCCCTTGTAATATAGACACTGTACACTGTACGCTGTACGCTGTACGCTATACAGAAAAACCATCGATAGAACGGCAGGGAGCCAGGCGTCAGGAATTGGAATCGGGAATTGGGAATTGGGAGTTGAACATTGCATAATTCAGTATACTCGAGTAAAACCTTATCATGTTACTCGTACAGTACATATTGTATAGAAATCAAACAGTCAATTGGAATCGGTACATGGCGCCTCTTGTCTCGGTCGTCGATTGTCGTTTTAGTGAGTGATATGGAAAAAAAAAAAAAAGATTTACCCGGTAGTTACCCCGGTACGTATCTCACCCATCCGAGATATCCGAGATAACATAACCGGACAAGAACATCTATTGCACTTCCAGTTCCTGGCAGGCTGCACATTCACCTGAGCCTGTCCTCGACGAGTTTACATGCTGGTACTCCATACACTGATGATATTAGTGCTGGGCAAGAGAAGAGAGGCAGGAGGTTGATAGAAGTGAACGGAGTGTCAGATCTTTACTTTATACAGCAGATCGGGGTTCAGCTTGTGTATGTATATATATGTGTGTGTGTGTGTGTGTGTGTACAGCTAAATAATATCAAATATCTATCATACCCCCACTACCCTCACCTCATCTATATACTAGGTAGCTCTCATCTACACAACCATCCACCACAAACCAAAAGTCAAAAGTCAAAAATAACAACATAAACACAACGCTAAATCCCACGAGACGACAACACACGATAGCGCAAAACATTTTCGCGGTAAAGTCGATCTCAATCCAATACGCCAATCCCAATGGTGGCGTAACAGCACTTCCATTGTTCGAATCAATCTTCAAAAGTTCGATGTGACGAGCGCACCAAACGCCATGGGTATCCATCCAAATAAACAATCAAGCAACAGTCTCAGCTGGCATCTGCGCCTTATTTTCCTCGGCTGAAATTTCCTGGGCCGAAACCGCAGGTTTATCGTTCTTCAAAGCTTCTACCTCGAAACTTTGCATGGGTCGCAATCCCCACCTGTTGAAAACGACAGAATCAACACCCCATCCAACAGCTGGCGTAGTCAACATTGTCTCTCCCGTGAAAACCGCATTGGCACCAGCCATAAAACACAAAACTTGTTGTTCCTCGCTCAACTCTCCTCTTCCAGCCGCTAACCGTACAATCGTTTTTGGCATGACGATTCTAGCCGTCGCAACCATCCTCAACATACTCTCAAACTCTACCTTCTTGTTACCTTCAAGCGGAGTTCCTTTAATAGCCACCAACATATTAACAGGAAACGATTCGGGATGCGCAGGCAACGTAGCCACCGTCTCCAAAAGTCCAATATGATCCGACTTATTCTCGCCCAACCCCAGGATTCCCCCGGTACATACATTGATGCCCGCCTCCCTCACATTCTTAATCGTATTCAATCTCTCATCATAACTCCTCGTCGTGATAACCTTGGGATAGAAATCCCGCGATGTATCCACATTATGATTATAAGCCGTGAGACCCGCCTCTTTAAGTTCTTGAGCTTGCTCGGCGTCAATCATCCCAAGTGTAACGCATACCTCCATTCCCATGCCGCGAATCTCGCTGACCATTGTCTTGACATTTTTGAGATTGGTTTTGCGGCCTCGCAAATCGCGCCAGGCGGCTCCCATGCAAAAACGTGTGCTGCCGTTTTCTTTGGCGATACGGGCCGCGGATAGGACGGACTCGACGGAGGCCATTTTGGAGGCTTTGAGACCGGTTTTGTAGCGGGATGATTGGGCGCAGCTGGGGGTTATGATGTTAGTTTGTGGTGCTCAGTAATATCTTGAGATGGAATGGAACGGCAAGTTGAAGATGTAAACGCATTACCAAAAGATGATAGCAATAAACATATAAAAACAAATAAAACAAATAAAACTCACTAAGAACAATCCTCCGAACAACCCCCCGTCTTAATACTCAACAACGTACACATCTGAATCGCGCCCGGTATATGAAATTTCCGATGCAGATTCCCCGCTTGCCAACATAATTCCATCAACGGCTTATCATAAATCTCTTTGATCTCTTCTTTCGTCCAATTGGTACGAGGTTCAGTTGCATTGAGAGCTTCTTGGTAGATGTCTTTTTTGGCCGATGCAATCTCTGTTGCGATCTCTGTTGCTTGAGGGGGAACGGATGACACAGTGCCATATTGTCTTGGTAGGATCTGGGTTTGAACCTTTTGGGCTCGGAGGGAGATGGGTGCGAGTTTATGAGTGTTGGAGCGAAGATGCATGAGAGGACGAGATAAAGAGGGCATTCTAAGGGTGGCCATGGTGGGTGAGTGGAGATTGGAGGTATGTGACAGTAACAGTAACAGTATGTAACGGTAGATAGAGTAGGAAAGAAGAGAAGGAAGAAAAATAAGAGAAAAGAAAGTATCAATAATCTCAAACTCGATAGAAAGTCCAAATTAAGCTAACCCAAGCTAAATCATGACTCAACAATACTCGTACACAAATAACTGTAACAGGAAGGAGAACAAGATCCAACACAGCCCACACAGCATTTAAACCAAATGAGGGGTTTACAACCCCCCTCTCCTCGACGATCTAGCGGGGCACAACAACAACAACAACATGCATGCATACCAAGTTCTCAACAAATTACAAGACCGGGAAATCGCCATGTTTACTAATTATCTTATCTGATTGGGAGAGTTGAACTAGGATCTCCCTGCTATTCTGGTCCTGTCGTCCTGTCAGTAGTGAGTGGTCGCGACATACACCTAAGATGGGAGGTGGATCGGCCCGTGCTGAAGCTTGGGCTTGGTGAGCTTGGCGAGCTTGGCTTTGGGGATGATTTTTATAATTCTTAGGTTTTGTGATGGGTATGGGTACTAGGTAATAGATATGTATGATGTGAAGATCTATAAAGAAAAGAATGTTGAAAGAGGAATAGTATATATTAAAATGTTGTTGTAATGTTTAGTGATTATGAGGATGAGGTGTATATGATACTATAATGCTACTGTACCTATCTACTCTATAAGGGGCCCGAACTCTTACATTTTTCATTTCATAGTGCATTGGCGCCGAGCCAAGACCCGAGTTAAAACTAGCAGAAGGCTTGGAATCTGCAATTGTCTACCTAAATTACCCCGTTCTCATAGATTGCTTGGAGGGTTGGGTGTGTTTTGGTGAGTGTTTGGATTTAGATTTGGAAGATACGTGGTCTTGCTGAGCTGAGGGGATGATAAGCGATTGCCAAGAAGTCAACCCCTAGATAACTGCTTGGCTTTCTCCAAGTTCTATTACAGTATTGCCCTTTCAGAATATATTTCCCTGTAATTTTTGTATCTTCATATATACATTTGAGATGGTAGACTTTCTGTCCGATATAGTCCCGTCACGTAATACTGCCTATAACTTTGCTCTCTCCGTTCTACCCTTCCCCTTAAAGCTCATCCCCACACCAGCGATATGTTCCTCTTCAACCCCAACTCCCACATCAGATTCCCCCCTACCATTTCTATCCACCACATCTCCAATCTGAGCCTCTCCTCTCTTATCCATCACCCCAATCCACTCCCTAACACACCTCACCAATCCCTCAATCTCTTCAAATGTATTCCCAGCATGTAAACAGACCCTCACCCTTTCCCTTCCTTTCTTAACCGTTGGACTCATTATTGCCCTCACATTATACCCCATCTTTTGACAGTAAGTTGCTAGTTTCTTTGGCTCAGGGGTCTGAAGAGAAAATATAGGGGTCCAGTTCAGATTCTCGGTTTCTGGGGAGAGATTTTGGGGTTGCGGTTTTAAGTGGGATGATAGCGGGAGGTGTGAGAGTAAAGATGTGAAATGATGGGATAGACAACGGAGATGTGATTGTAGAGGGTTGGTGCTGGAGGAAAGGAAAAGTGAATATGAGGCGGCGATGAGGAGGAGAGAGGGGGTGGAGAGCGATGTGCTATAGATGAGAGGACGGGCGTAATTGAGGAGATAGTGGCGGGTTAGGGAGGTAGTTAGAATGATAGCTATATGAGTTTTAGCATTCCCATCATCAGATTTTGACATAAGTTGTACAATGGATTGAACGGAAAACGAGAGAGAAAGAACATACCACCATTTCCCGCAAGTGCCTTTCCAAAAGTATGCAATCTCGCAAAAATCTTCCCCTCCAATCCCAATTCGCAAACCAGTCCTCGTCCCTCTGGTCCATAAACCCCCGTCGAATGTGCCTCATCCACCACAATATATCCTCTCCCTTCCTCAGTCATTCCACCCAATCCAAAAATCTCCTCCACAACCTTAACCACCGCACGCAGAGGACATATATCCCCATCCATACTATACAAACTTTCCACCGCCACAATAACATTCCTCTCTATCCCTTCCCGTCTCACGCTATCCAAAACCCTCCGCAAATCTCCAACATCATTATGTCTAAAAGCAATAAATCTCTTAGCACGTGATCCTCTCATCCCTTCGTGCACACTAGCATGGATTTGCTCATCGTAAACTACGACATCTTCTTTTTGAGGAATACAAGCAAAAAATGCGGAATTGGCATCAAAGCCTGAGTTGAAGAGGAGAGCACCTGAATCGAGATGCGGAGAGCGATGGAAGGTGGATATTTGAGCTTCGAGATGTAAAGCGAGGGGTGAATTGCCACTTAGGAGGCGGGAACCTGTGCTGCCTAGTGTTGGCGGAGCTAAAGTTGTAGATGGAGATGAGTTATGAAATGGGGGAGGTGAGAAGTGAGTACGAAGTAAGGCAAGATATGCATTATGTAGAACTGGAGATGTTGAGAGTGAGAGAAAATCATTAGATGAGAAATCGATTGGTGTAACGCCAGTGGTAGTTGGTGTAGTAGATGGTAAAGATAAGTTTCTCAATGAGGAATTTTGAGCTCGGCGTTTGAGTGCCGAGGTCATGGATTCTTCGAGTGTAGGCATATTTTTTTTGGTGCTTGTTTGAGAACTTGTGTGATGTGTGATAAGAGAACCTTAGTACGAGTACGGTTGGTTACACTGCACAATCAATATGGAATACAGATATGATTCGTGAGTCACGGTAACTTGACTCGGGTCCGGACTCCGTTGATCAAAAAGTGTTGAAGTCTTGCCGAGACATTTTGGTGAGTGCCACTGGCATACCCGGGCCAGCATGGATATTTCCCGCGGATCAGATAAAAATAAAATATGGGGATGATTTAGGGGTAGATATCCAAATTGGCCAATCACATTAAATACATATATCTTAGTCAGCCATGCAAACCCATCCCACCATGTCTTACTAACCCCATATTGTCCATATTTTACTATTACTGAGTAAATTGATTCAACTCCGAATATATTATTCACCATCTTCTGAGTTGTCTAATCCCTTCCTCCCCTCAAAATGTACAAACCACCACCCTCACTCCTCTCCAGATCTATCCCTGTTTATCATCTTACAGCATCCAATACGTCTTTAGGGAAAACAATCTTCTCAACACTTCTATGTCGACAACTTCTAGCCAGGAAACAAATCCCCTATTATCTAAAGCCAGTTTCCACCGGACCATTAAATGAGGCTGATGATGGACATATTGGAAGATTTGCAAAGGGAACGAGAATCGAATGTTTGTTTAGGTATGGGGAGGCTGTCAGTCCACATCTAGCGGCAAGGGGTGTAACGGTCAGTTTGGGACTTTACTTTTGATGATTGAGAGATAGCCGGAAAGGGTGAGGTATTACTTAATTACTTGATTTACCAAGTCCTCATCTTCAAGACGAATTGGTCTGGTTTGGGACATGGAAAGAGCTTTGAACGAAGAAGTTTTGCTGACTCAAAAACCACGTGCAGCCACCAAATGATCACGAGATTGTCACAGCAATCTCTGAACAAGTTCAGAAATGGACGAGAAGTAATAAAGAAGGACAGGAAGGGATGATTCTAGTGGAAGGTGCTGGTGGCGTACATTCACCAACACCGTCTGGCACAAGTCAGGCTGATGCATTAAGACCTTTGAGAATGCCCGTATTTCTTGTTGGTGATCCAAAATTGGGTGGAATTTCCGCAACAATTAGTGCTTGGGAGAGTAAGTGATTGTCTCGGGATACTTGAAGATATTTGAGCATAGTGTAGCTCTCAAAAACGGCACTGAGACTAATACGGGAATAGGTTTGCATCTTCGAGGTTATGATATTGACTCGGTATTGATATTCCGGGAAGAAAAGTATGGAAATCATGCATACCTTTCAAGATATTTTCAGGAACGAGGTATAGATACAACAGTTATTCCCTCGCCACCAAATCAGATCCCAAATCTACAGGAAGATGAAGAATCCATGACCTCCTACTACTCAAGTGTTGCTCAGTCCGGCGAGATTGAAGCGTTACTACAATCTTCTCGTCAACGAAACATATCACGAATCGAAGAATTGAAACAAATGACCGCAAAAGCTCACAAAACAATCTGGTATCCATTTACCCAAATGAAAGATCTTTCACCCGATAAAATCCTCCCTATCGACTCCGCATATGGAGATTATTTCCAAACTCTATTGAGCCCTGATACAAGCGAATCCACACCTCAAATGCCAACCCAGGATAATCTCCTCACACCCACATTGGACGGTTCAGGATCATGGTGGACCCAAGGTCTAGGGCACGGGAACCCTGCCCTTTCCCTAGCTGCAGCATATGCATCCGGTCGCTATGGCCACTGCATCCTCGCATCCACCATTCACTCACCCGCCCTAAAGCTTGCCAGCCATCTCCTCGCCAACCTCAAGAATCCCCGTTTATCCCGCGTCTTCTACTCGGATAATGGAAGTACCGGTATGGAAGTTGCTATGAAAATGGCATTGACCGCTTCTGTCAAACATTATGAATGGGGATATGATCAAAGAAAGATGAGAGAAGTGGGGATTATAGGATTGAAAGGTAGCTATCATGGAGATACCATAGGAGCTATGGATCTAAGTGAAAAAAGTGTTTATAATGAAAAGGTGCATTGGTATCGGGGAAGAGGACTGTGGTTTGACGTACCAAAAGTTTGGATGAAGGATGGAAAATGGGTTGTCTATGATAGAACTGGTGAGATCATTGAGGAGACATTTGACGATTTGGAAGATGTCTTCTGTCGCCAAAGAGATAACAGCAGATTGAGGAAAGAGTATAAACAACATATTTTAAAGACTTGTGAACAGGCAAGGTCGAAAGGAATGAGATTCGGTGCATTAGTTCTGGAGCCAATAATCCTTGGTGCTGGCGGTATGCTATTTTGGTAAGTCATATCTAATCCCACCAACTCGCTTAAACTCTTCTCTGACTCAGATCGCTAGCGATCCTCTCTTCCAACGGACCCTGACAGACTGCGTCCGCGAAACCCCCGGTCTCTTCGGTTTAGCGAACAAATCTTCCACGGACTCACCACTATCCCCAACCCAATGGACTGGTCTCCCTGTCATCCATGACGAAGTCTTCACAGGCCTCTATCGTCTCGGACACTTTAGTCCCTCCACGCTCCTCGGCACCAACCCTGATATCTCCGTGCACGCCAAACTCCTAACCGGAGGTCTCTTACCCCTTTGCACAACAGTTGCCAGCGAAAGTATCTACGAAGCATTTCTTGGTGATGAGAAAAAGGATGCGTTATTACATGGTCATAGTTATACTGGTCATGCAATCGGATGCGAAGTCGCGAGGGTAGGACTGGAAACTATGGCGAAATTCGATAGCGAGGTGGAAGGAAATTGGGAAGGATTTAAAAATGATTGGGGTGTGAATACAACGACCCAATCAGAGATAACAGAGTCGAAGAAAATACATGCAAAAGCACAAGTTTGGAGTATATGGAGTAAATCCTTTGTAACCTCAATCTCGCACCTGAAGTCGGTAGATGGAGTTATTGCGTTGGGTAGCGTATTGGCTATCACATTAAAGGATGAGAAGGGAGGAGGATATACGTCGAGGGTTACGGAGGTAGTGAGGGATAAATTGGGAGGTGGTGGTGATGTGGAGGGGGAGTCGAATGAATGGAATATCCATGCGAGGATATTGGGGAATGTCGTTTATCTCATGGGTAGTCAGGTCATGACTGCGGTACAAGTTAAGAGTATTGAGGAGAGATTGGGGGGCATATTGGGGTTGTAAAGTACTCGAGTATGTGGGGTTGAGATGAGCAAAATATTATAGATGTGGGTGGGTGGTAGACTGGTCAGGTAGTGAATGATGTGTGGAAACGGGTTTGTTATGTATACTCTATGATGTTATAGTTTTTACAGCTATAGCTACTCAGTAGCTAATACAGTTTACATAACAATATGAATATCTTCATCTAACATATCAATTCAATATATCTCCCGAACAAACATGTGTGGTTTGGGGGCCCCTTTCAAGTTTCAATTTGAACCATCTCTTTTTACGCTACTATAAAGGCTATGTCAAGATGCTTATTCTACTTGAAGCTTAGTAATGTTGTCTGGTAGGATGTGCTGATTTATGGCTGTTTTGCTTTTTTGCTTTTTTGCTTTTTTGCTTGTTGGGATTTATGTGCAATATGCAGTGCAGTACACGTATATGTTGGCTGTGAGTGTAATTTATAGTTCAATCTACCGGTAGATGATAGCTTGATGATTGAAGCGGTAGGAGAAAATACCTTACTAAATTCTTGATCATTACATTAAAAACTATGAATTACCATAAATCACTACAGATTACTACAAATCACTATAGTCTCCAGGGCCTAAATGAATGTAATCTCTACATACTCCTCCCAAACCATCCCCATCCCAGTACGCCCATATACATCCAACCATCCAACCATCCAACCATCCAACCAAACATCAAAATCTAAATTTCTCCGGCCATTGACACTCACACGACAACTTCCCCTGTTCATCCCTCATACTCTTCCTAATCACCGCCATCACTCCAACGATACGAGCAAATCATCCTCCAACCCTTGCAACCACTCCTCATCCCCCCACTATACGCACTTCTCCTTGCACAAACCTCGACTCCATCCATCCCACCCCACCCATGACCAACCGATCTCATCACCTCCTCTCTCCTACTATCCCTCTTCTACAATTTCCACCCATCCCCCTTCATATTGACCATCTCCTCCGCACTCAACCCCTGCTCCCCCACCCAATACGGCATCAGCAGACCCAGTTCCAGAAACAATGTATGTGGATTCTTTCGATTGGTTAGCGTCCACTTTCCATTTAGTATTTGCGTGATATTCGGAATGGCGGTTGCGAAATTGGGAATAAGAATGGTAGGGTAGTGGGCTGCGTGGAAAGAAGAACTGAGATTTTAGACGTCGATGATAACCGATGCTGACTTCGCTTATGCGCCAGGCATGGTGGAGCAGGTCGAAATCAATGTGTAAAGTTTTTCCAGCATATGCTCTGGTTGAAAAGCGGAAACCTGCTGAGTGCCTGCGGCCGGTAAGAATTTCTTCTATGGTTTCATATTCGGATACAGAGACTACTGAATTAAGTGAAAGATAATATCTAGGGTATCTACCATCGAGCGGTTCTAATCGTGAGGTTCTGGACAAGAGTTGTGCAATTGATGGACCTGCAACGGGGCTCTTTTTCTCTCCGGATTTGCTGGTACGTTTGTCTTCAATGCATAGTCCAGAATAGCATATTGATGGACAAATGTATTCAAGGCAATGGCGCCGAGTGCCACAAAGGGTTTCTTTTGAGCAAAAGCGGCCGCAGCTTCCTGCGGTGATAAAAAGCGATCTGGAATCATGTCTTCTGTACCAGCACCCGGCTCGCGGACATTTGATCTGGGAGGTGTTGTATGTAGGATATGATCAAGTTATAGCGTATAGTGATCTTATCCTGGAGGTTCTAGTTCAGCTATGAATACAGGAATGGTGGTAAGTATTATAGCAGCAATTGCATGCCCAGAAATCCTTTACATCGGGTGGAATAGTATCGCGGCGGATGGGACAATTGTATCTGCAAAGATTTGATTTAGCAAACATATAGACTGGGATTGAGAAAAGCTGAGAGATTCAGAATGATGTGATGTGAGGAAGTACTTACACTCCATTCTCGATATCTTCTCTGATTCGATCGCTCATTTTGGGACTATTTGATCTTCCATTGGCCCTTATTCTGTCAAGTTTTACTGGTTGTGCTACTGGTTCTGGTCGTGAGCCTGACTTCCGGCTGGCGATGTGTTCTTGATGTCCCTTGATCATGATAACGTAGTGTGATGTAATTCGTCGACTTGACAAGCCAAAAGAAATGTATATATATATATATGCTAGTATGTCAAATATGGGATAAGTGATTGTAAACGCAGTTTGATGGTTGAGTTCGATGACGAGGTCTTACGAAATCGAAAGGATACATTGAGGGAACAGGCAAAGATATGCTGCTACCTGTAGTCGATCATGTGATGATTCATGACCATAGAGGTAGAGTTAAACTAGTGATAATCCCTTGGCATGAAGAGCTATTGGAATTGGTGTAGAACCGTAGTGACCGTTGAGCCGTCGTACTAAGCTGAAAGCGCATTAAACTTTGAAGCTATGCCAACTTCCCGCCCAATCGACTGCTTTTCACTTGAAAGATCATCTTTTTCTTCAACGTATACTGTAGGAGAACTTCTGACAGTGTGAGAGTCTTCATTGATTGCATTGCAGTCATTGCAATATGAACTGTACTTCAATTCGACAACTTCCGTTGGATTACGATGCTGACATAGTATGGCTACCGGATATGGCCGGTGAGGAGAAATATGAAAATAACGGGTGTATAGGTAACGAAATTGCTTGGAATATGTCATTCTGATCTTGGGAAGATCGACTCAACTCCAAGCCAGATTCTTCAATCCAATTGTTTATATCCAGATGAAGATCTCTAGAGTACTTCCAGACCAGAGATTGAGGGAATCAGTTGGAGAGGTGCCAATTGGCAGTGCGTGGCCACAAATAGATGATCAACACCATACTCATAGGAATTTTCTGGTTTTTTGGTTCTCGAATTGCGGACTTTCTGGCGACATGAGTATACATCGAATACTGTAAAGACATTTGCTGGTATTACCTCAGTGACTATTTTCACTTATATAGCAACGACAACTACCTTAAAATTGACCAAGAGAACTTGCAATTATTGATATTATAAGTAGGGAGAAAGCACTTTGAGGTTCTTGGCTCGGCTACATTTCTTTGACTTACGGCACTGTGCAAGCCTTTAAGCCTTTCTCTACACAATTCAAGAAGACTTCAAGGCGGCGAGGTTGTGGGGAAAGTGTTGAGATGATGTTCATATGTCTCACACATGAGTAGTTCATGTTAGATAGAGGATGACCAGGACAGGGAACCCTAATTCACGCGCTGGAAATTGAAGGAATATGCATGTTAAGTAAATTTGGGAAATTTGGGACTTGATGATATATCAAGGTTATTCAAAGGATCGGAAAACTTGGTTATTTGACATCACTTGATGATATTGAGGACGTGGCAAATTTTACGTGAACTCTTTGTTGAATTATCATGGAATGCGAAGAATGGGACCTTAGAAAACATAACGAAACCGACTTACTGAATGGGTTGCTTAGGAAGAATTAAGAAAATGATGATATGCCAATAGCGTCCCTGTCAGCTTTCTCCCTTCTAGCTTCTTCCTTTTCAGCTTCCTCTACTCTTCCGACTTTTATCCGGTAGAATTTAACGGTTGATTCTGGGAAACCAATTTCTTTGAAGAGATATTCCACCGAATACCCTTCTCTCTGATTGAGGTAGTCCGAGAGAATGATTTTCAAATCTTGACGGCGAACCTTGTAAGCCCAGACCACCAACTCAACAACAAAACTCACCCAGTTCATAAATGTTTCTGGATCCGTGGTTCTTTCATGCTGTCTAAACTCGATGGTTCTCTTGACTGGTTCATCAAAAGGTTGTCTGAGTCCTCCAATTAAGTACGCCAAACGGAAACTTTTGGCATAACCTTCGAACATCGTTACCACTTCATTGATAGTAGATGGACTGAACGGCACATCAAGTAAATCCCCTTCAAACCCACGTACGCCAAGGTTGGAGCATTGATGAAGTGGTGCAGAGTGACAGGAAAGCAGACTTCGTGACTTGGGAAGAAGGGATGAGATTTGAGATTCAAAAATCCAGATAGTTGCCATGAGATGTTTGAGAGGCTCAACTGACATTCCTTCTGTTCCATTGCCAACATGAACATGGAGGCCACATGAGCGGTTGACCACAACATTAAAATTGGTGTTGAGTGCGGTCAGCATTTTATGAATTTCCTTCAAGCTATCGGGGTTAAATTTCAAGACTGGTGATCGCATTTCAATAGGGATATACTCCAGGAGGTCTTTTCCCTTTTCATCATCAAAATATAAGGTTGAATCCGAGCCGATAGTCCATGTTTTATATTCCTCTGATGGATGAATATCTTCGGGCCCATGACGATCAAGGTCGTTTATTTCATGATCTGTCATAATCTCAAACCCGGTTGCGACCATCAAAGTATCTTTGACAAATTCCCAATTCTTCGGAGGGGTTGAAAATGGTTTCTTTACAAAGCGGAGGCCAAACTCGAATTCTACACCGAATGTGAAATTTTTAGATAGAGATGCCCTAAGTTTTAAAGGTCTAGGTTTAGACATCTTGACTAACCTTTTTGATTGGATTGGAATCTTGGGTTTTGCTGTAAGTTTCGAGTGCGATGTGTCTACTATGAGGACTTGAGACAATTTGTCTCTTGTGAATAAGGATTGTTCAATTGTTGTTCGACTTTCTTGATTGATTCTTTGTTTGGGACAATGTTCTACTCAAAGGACAAACAGATAGGTAAGAGGTGTATACTCGAGTAGTTTTGATAACGAACGCGAGACAAAGAATCTAACAACGTTATTCTTTTGTTTACCCCAGATGCATTGTATTATGTGTCCAATCGAGGTTCAAGAAAGAGCTTCGATGTGTACTTGAGTATCATACCTAGCTAGGTAGCTGATAATATGTACTTGAGTATGATACCGAGCCATTTAGCTGACAATATATACTTGAGTATCATATCTAGCGCTAGATAGCTAACGATATATACTCGAGTATTATGCCGAGTTATTTAGCTGACGATATATACATGAGTATTATACCTAGCTAGATAACTGACAATGTATATTTGAGAATCATACTTAGCTAGAAAACTGATGATGCGTGACGATGTGTACTGGAATATCATATCTAGGCTCTAGATAGCTGAATAGAAACTCTTTCGACAGCGCAGAGAATATTTCAATATTCTTATTCTTTCAACCAACCCAGATACAACAAGTGCGGTTATAATTCCGTAAAAGCACGTGCAATGGTTTCACGGGGTATTTCCGCTTTATTTCTACCCTTTATTTCCGTCCATATTTTCTTTCTCGGGGGCCCCGGGCGTCCATCCTGCCGGGAGAACAGCAGAATTTATTTTAATATTACTGAAGATCGACCAGGAGAACCTCACGATATATCACAATATCATCTACTCTCTATATCTCGAGTAAAGCCATCCCAAAGTCAAAGGCGCAAATACCAAGTTTTTTCTTACCCGAATAAGGTATAAACAGAACAACTGATCTGATATGATATGGTCTGAATACGGAATCAATCGCGCAAACATGCTCGGGTGATCCACCGGTAGTTCTTCAATATGAAGAGTTGGAGGAGTAGGAGGGGAGGAGGGGTAGGAGGTAGGAGAGCTTTTTGTATCAGGACTCAAGTGACATATCTGGGATTAAAGACAAGCTGAGCCAATACTCCACACACAGCCTTTTGACTCCACATGGAAAGTGCAGTAATTACTTGTCGGTGTCTGCTTATTGGTTGAAAGGGGAGATAATAATATGCATAAGGATGACCCCGCATACTATATTCTACTAGTACGGTTAGCTGGTTGTAGATCTATTGAAGTGCTACCTAGGTAAGTGACTATCACTGTTGTATATAAATAGCTGATATAATATTCAAGTCGACCCCTAAGGTGTCTTTGTCGTCGTCTGTATCTTGATTCTCTCTCTATCTTAATTTCATCTTCTATTGTTGCTTTACACCATAACTTAAATATCGGATATCACCATGGCTATTACTGTAAAACCAGAAGACACCGAATATGACTATATTATATGTGGGTATGTTTATCCCTTCGATGCAGCATTTTGACAAGTATCTGTCTAATATATATGCTACAGAGGTGGCACGTCAGGGGCCGTTGTTGCAGCACGATTGGCAGAAGATTCCAACAATTCTGTTCTTGTCATCGAAGCAGGAGAGCATAATGCCCTTCTCGAAAACACCATAATGGTTGGCGGATGGTGAGATTTCCTGCTATCGTCTTGTGAATTTGAGCTGAGATATCACACAAAGGGCACAGAACTTCGAAACGTCCTCTGACTGGAACATCACCACAGAGCCAAGTCCCGGTGCCAATAATCGTCAAGTCAAAGTCAGTCGGGGCAAATTTCTCGGAGGATCAAGTGGATGTAATGGTACACTTTGTATTCGAGGTATGCCACAAGATTACGATGATTGGGAAATGCCAGGATGGAGTGGCGAGGAGGTATTTGGCTATATGAAGAAGGTAGGATCATTAGTCACTCGATTTTGCTCGTGGTATTGATGGTGGTACAGACAGAAAACTTTCATGGCAAGGAATGGTTCAAGGCCGACGAATCAGTACATGGTCATGATGGTCTACTTGATGTTGAACCTCATGATATGGTAAGGTGCAATCTCTAAGTTCATTGACACAATAAACTAATCTCCTTAGGCCCCTATATCTAACATGATCTTGGATTCAATGGAGGATCAAGGTCTACCACTTCATCCCGATATGTTTTCAACTGGTGAAACTCCCAATGGTTGCGGCCATGCACCTAGAACTGTATATAAAGGAGACAGAACTACTTCGGCAAACTACCTGGTCAACAAAGGTCCAAATCTCGCAATCAAAACTAGTACGACTGTTGATAGAATCATTCTCGAGAGCCATACGTTCTCTCATGACCTGAGAGCCACAGCTGTAAAAATAGTCGAGAAAGATGGAACGGAAAAAGAGATTAAAGCTAGAAAAGAGATTATTATCAGTGGAGGAGCATATTGCTCGCCGACAATTCTTATGCGGTCAGGTATCGGAGCAAAATCGGAGCTTGAATCTCATGGTATCGAGTGTCAAGTTGATCTTCCTGGAGTAGGAAAGAACCTCATGGATCACATGGTAAGTTATTCCCATCTCTCCTCGATACTTGGCTAACAAATCTCAGATTGTTTTCATGTTTTATGAGACTAACAAACCAAACATTACAAATGATCACCTTCTATATCGTCCAAATGCTTTAGGTGAAGCCTACAGACAATGGAAAGAAGAAAAGCGTGGACCTCTTTCTACATTTCCCTTCGGTGCATTCGCCTATACTCGTCTCGATGAACGTCTTGCTTCGGAACCCACCTGGACCTCAGCACCACGGCGACAAGGGCGAGATCCTATGGGTTTGACTATATCACAACCTAATATCGAGTTTTTCACCACTGAATGTTATGGCGGTCCAAAGCAATATGATCAGTTCCCAGATGGAGAAAAGACTCATGCATTTTCTATCATTGCTGAGTTATTCGCGCCTAAAAGTAGAGGTACTGTAACATTGAAGTCCAAAGACCCAAAGGACAATCCAGTAGTTGACCACAACTACTTGAGCGAAGAGCTGGATGTTGTTGTTCTCAGTGAGGCGTGTCGTTATGCCAATGAAATCATCATGAAGGGAAAAGGAACCAAGGATATCGTTGAGGGAAGCTGGCCTAAGGACTTAACACACCATGCATACACATCGAGAGAACAATGGGTTCCTTATATCAAGGACAATGCCACAACTTGCTACCATCCCGCAGGGACCGTCAAAATGGGAAAAGCATCCGATCCAATGGCAGTTCTCGATGAAGAATTAAGAGTCAGGGGAGTGAAAAATCTCAGAGTCGCCGATACGAGCGTTATGCCGCTGCTTAATCAAGGTCATACCCAAATGCCTGCGTATGCGATCGGTGAGAAGGCAGCAGATTTGATCAAGGGCGTTGATGGTTTAGATATGGCGGCGTTGAAGTTAGAGAGATATGACTCAAAGATAGAAGTTACTTGAATTACAACAAATGACTGAAAGTATAGTTGTTTGAGAGGCTACATACATGATGATCATTGATTAGCGTTACGGTTACCCTGTATTTTTGTTATATATTTAATTGACTTTCATATTTCTGCCTAACAATCGTCGTCTCCTTCGCTCATTTTTCAGAGTGATCTTAAGGTGAATATGACATCAAATTTCGAGAAGACATGAATGCTTACTTTTGGCGGTAAATTCCTTTTTGATTTAGGAAAGCGTACATTCCTTCAATAATGTTCTTTGCCGATAGATTAGATTTCCTCGCACATCGTACCTTCCCAGGCCAATTTGATCCCGACTTCCTTTATTTCACTCAACTCCTCTCACCCAGTTCAAACAAATCCTCCACAAAATCATCTCACCCACACCAGCCATGTACTCATCACACCATCACCTCTCAAGCCTCCTCATCCTGATTCTCTCCTTCACAAACGCCACTCTCCCACCACTCCACTACACCATAACCCGACGCGGCGGTTCCTTTCCCGCTCCCGACACTGCCAATCTCACATTTCTCCAATCCACACTCGCGGATACCAATGCCCGATTCACCAATTCCGAAAGGGTATTGAGAGGAAATCGGGTTGTGAGGGTTCCGAGACGATGGCACGATGGCCAGATCACTAATATCACAAGTACTGGTATGCAAGCACGCTCTGGAACTTTTCTCCAACCGGGCACGACTCTTCTCGGCGAAGTCGGTAATCCTGGTTCGTGGTTTACTTCTTTGAAAATTGGAGAGCCGTCACAGAATGTTGATATGGACCTTAATATGTTGACGGCGGATTTTGCGGTGATTAGTACGCCGAGTGGGAAGGGGAGTTTCTTTCTGGAGGAGAGAAGTGGTACGTATAGTGTGAGTAATGATGATGAGGATGGGAAGGGGATGAACTTTCCTGGATGTAGGTGCGGGGTTGATGTGGTAGGCTTGCCATTGGGGATTGATGTGTTTGATGGGTTGAAGGGTGAGAGATATATACCGGTTAGTTTTGCACATTGTAGACCGCAGAAACAGTGGGTGGGGAGTTTGGGGAAGAGTGGTGCGAATTTGGGTTTGGCGGTAGGGGAGGGATTGGGACAGGTTGGGGGTTGGAAGGGAGGGTTGTTGGGGCAGATGGTGAAGAGTAGGGTTGTGGATGCGGAGGTGTGGAGTTTGATGTTGATTAATGGGCATGAGGGTGTTTTCAGTGTGGGAGGGACTTCGGTTAAGGCAGTCAGGGAGGTGGAAGGCAGGATCGAAAAGGAAATGGAGAAACTCGATGCAGGTGAGTTACCATTAGGAGACGATGGATTGAAAAAACTGGATGAAGGCGGGCTGCAATCTGGAATTGATGAATTGAAGAGGAACGCCGAGTTAGGGTTGATGAAGCGAGATGAAAGTACGTTGGGTAACGATGACCTGAAGCCAAACGAGGAAAGTGTTTGGGAATGGAGTAAAGTTCGCGGCGCCGATGGATGGTGGGAAATTCTGATGAAAGGAATATGGATCGACGGAAACAAAGTATTAAAAAATCAGCCAATAGTCCTAGATGTAAGTCTTTCCCCTCTCCTCGATTTCACTAACCCACTAACTTCCTCAGCTCAACACTCCATATATAGTTGGACCAGCACACCTCGTCCGCGACCTCTATGCCTCAATCTCTGGCTCTCGCCAACTTCCACCCCCGTACGATCAATTCCACGCCTACCCATGTTTCAATCCCCCTCACTTATCCCTCGAATTTGGAAATTTGAGAGTCAAAGTATTGGAGGGTAAGAGAGATGCGGGGAGTTTCTCGCCAGGGGGAAGATTTAGTCTGGGTAGGATGGAGAGGGGCAGTGGATATTGTATAGGCATTGTAGTGGAAGGAAGATTTGGTCATGATGATGGTGCAGATGGAGAAGGTGGAAACGCTGCCGTGGATGGTAATGGAATGGAGGATATGTGGATTCTGGGAGAACCTTTCTTTAAAGATGTACAGGTTGCTTTTGATGTGAGTATGCTGGGTTTCCTACTTTTTTGTTTTGAGGTTTCAGTTACTAATGCTTCTTGTGTAGTGGAAGGAGAAAAGGGTTGGTATGCAACGACTTTGATATCTTTAGGTGTGTGGAAAATGGAGAGAACCGATATACCTTAGTGGGAATATTGCTACATTTTGACTTTTTCATTATAAGAGTAATCTTTAACATAATAAATGATTATTCCTTGCTCATTGCTTACAGAATTGTTGCACAACCCCTTCTTTGGAAGCTGGAGTTAGGATTCGATGTATTTTTGATAGATTCAGCAGTTTTTTTCCTTATAAGTTGAATCGAATTCGGGTTATCTCAAAATATAATCTTACATTAGGTACCGGTATAGGATATTACTTTGTAACGAATTCGAAGACTAGTCACGGTAGCATCACGTGACTGCTAAACAAACTTATTCTACCCCAAATTTTTAGTGCTTGTAACTACATCTTCTTCGTCTTCATTTTCTATGATTCTCTCAAACGATTCAATATCATCACCTTTTTATGCTACTCACCAATCTTGGACAAGTATATTCTCGACTTTACCAAAAGTGTGTGCTCCTGTAACGCTCGGGAAACGTTACAACGACGTGAAAGTTTTCAGGTAGCTGAAATCGGCTCGAAGTAGGGCTGAAATAGAATATGTGCAAGTGCATGCAAGCCATGAGTTACAAATCACCTTTTAAAGTCCGGCCATGACCGGCCGGGCTGATGTCAGACTTGCTCTCGACATCTTATCAAGATGAACTATCTTTGAATATTGTTCTTCATTTACAGTCTCTACATTTTCATACTTGTTCTTTTTGAAATTTACCAGCTCGATGATGGCGGAATTATTGCCATCCCAGATTGAAGATTTTCTGCAAGGGCCGGCTTTGAATCCTCCACCGGGTGTCACCTCAAATTTTGACAATCCTTATACTTTTCTTCCAGCAGCCAACGCGGTTAAAATAGTTGCTACCATTCTAGCCACTTTAGCTATCTTCATACGGACTTACACAAAATGGCGGATTATTAGAGAGGTACACTTAGAAGATTGTAGGTGGCAAAGAGTATAATGGTTTTGTTGAGCTTATCATTGACTATTCTTAGATTTTGCGGTTGCAGCTTGGGTACTTCAAATCTTCTAAAAAAAAACGCTTTCCAATACTGAGTTGTATATTCATAGGGCGGTTATGTAGTTTTTCTTGTGACAACCGGTTTCGATCCTAGTGTTTTCGGACGACATCAATGGGATATCAGGTTAAAAAATTTCCAAATCTTTCTTTACGTATGTTATCCTATCTTCTGCCATCTGATACAAACTAATCGTGATTAGGGCACCTACATAACATCTATATCCTTTGGTCTTGCGATATTGTCAATCAAGATATCCATATTGCTACAATATATTAGGCTCTTTACTGCAGGAACACGAGACTTAATGTTCTGGAGCTGTCACGCACTGATGTGGACAAATATCGTATCCTATGTTGTTCTTTTGTTCATGACGATATTTATTTGCACTCCTATAAAGAAATTCTGGAACGTGTTGGATACCACCGGTCACTGCCTCGATGTGAAGTATGTCTTCATGGCCACCGGAACTATCAACACTGTGTCCGACTTCCTGATTATCTTACTACCGCAGCCAATCATTTGGAAACTACAAATGAGTTTCAAGGAACATGTTGGTGTTTCAGCGGTTTTCTCGACGGGACTCTTGTGAGTAATAGATCTGAGATTTCTTTTCTCGGATATTAATTTGACTTTAGGGCGTGTATAGCATCAATGGTGCGCTTGTTCATTTCGTCGAAACTTTTGAAAAATGACGACAATGCTTGGTTGACGAGTCTCATGTGCATTCCTTCATATGTCGAATTGGGAGCTGGTATCATCACGAGCTGTCTTCCGACTCTGCCCAGATTTTTCAAAACGATGGCACAGATACCTTGTTTTGCGAAGATGGGTACTTTCCTATCTTCCTTCTTCATGTCGTTTAAATCCTCGAAGAGGACATCGGAAAGAACCAGTAGCTCCTCACGGCTCCAGCATCGCAGGAATTCATCGATGGCAAGGGTACAGAGAAGAGACCCAGAAAGTTACAATGTTCTGGGCGAGTGGGAAAGTCAGAATACTGCGTTTTCAACGACAAGTTTGGGAAATGTCACGACCGCTGCAGGAGTGGAAAATGATGGGAATAATATGGAGATGAAGCCTATTGATGAAAAAATGGGAATCCTACGATCTGTTCAGGTTTCGGTAATTCGTCAGGGCTCATTATGCAATGTAGGGAGATGATGCCTAGACACATTGAGCGTCTTTATCGGAGTTATCTAAAAAGAACTGGTAGCATTGTTATAGGAGTCTACGGCGCGAGTTGTGTTTTGCAGCTGTGCGATGTTTGAATTCGGACTTGGAATATGGCATGGGATGTTAAGGCTGAGAGACTACAGGCATGTAAACTTCATCATGGAAGAATACCTTCAAGTCTTCACTTGAATTACTTTCAAGACAGGCAATATTTCATATCAAATGTCCGTCAATCTTAGTCGGACAAGACAACCTATGCTTCAAGCAAATTTCAAACAACATCAGTATTCCGGTTTTCCATTCGTTATAAGTATTGCCTTCACGAATCAAGAGTATAAAAGGAGAAGCTACTGACTGTAGTCTCTCTTCACGTCGATCTCATTTCTAGATGCACCTTTTTATTTCTAAAATCCCTCTTCTATCCTACAATACTCCCATAACTCGCTCTATTCAGCAGCATAGCAGAATCGCCTATATACATCTATTCAGCTACCGGTATATCAATCGACAAACGCAGAATCTGACCGTGCATCAAGGGCCATGGTCCGTGAAATTTTTAACACGGTATTTGATTCTGGCATTCTGCAGCTGGCTCTGGAGTGTTTTCTCTCGAAACAAATACACGAGGAGGCCCCCGAATTCTGATAAATCTGGGAGCCCTAATGACGTACTAGATATGTATCTAGATGAAGGTGTATTTTGTTGGCGTTGATTGCATGGGACTTGGGACCGGGGAGGGAGGGTGGCGCTGTTGTGTAAACTGGTGGTTCTGGAGTGTCTTCGTCCAAGATACACGAGGAGGTGCCGAATCTCGAATTCTGATAATCTGGGAGCTTGGTCTCGTACTAGATCTGTATCTAGGGGAGTGTCCTATCTCAGAGTACGTACACAAGGAGACCCCCGAATTCTGATGAGGTTGGTCTCGTATTAGATCTGTGTCTAGAGGTGTATTACTTTCTCATTTGTCGAGAAATCCTGCCGATTATTTTGGTGGTAATACAGAATGAATTGGCGTTGGGAAATCTTCGATATGTAACAGCATATCCATGCCGGTCCCAAACGATCTTGCTCCGCCGCGCCGAGTACCGACTCTGGAGTGTTCTCCCTCAAAATACTCGAGGAGGCCCCCGAATCCCCAATCCTGATGAGGCTGGTCTCGTACTAGATCTGTATCGCGAGGTGCATCATGTTCTCATTTGTCGATAATTCGTGCCGATGATTTTGGTACTAGTATAGAATGAACTGGCCTGCTCCCAGGAACCTGTCAGTATTTAACGGCATATTCATGCCGGTCCCGAGCAGTCTTGCTCCTTTGTAGTCTTGGCCATTATTGCGGTTCAGACTCATCTTCGGATTCCAGTGTGCCAGATGCAATGTGTAAAGTCCGGCTGATCCTCGTGTTTCTTCGAGTGGCTCGGTTTTGATTTTCTGGGGTAAAGAGACTTTGTGTTTGAAGGTATGCTGTTTGCGAGACTTGTTTCTCCCTTGGGTAGGTAATTATGGAGATACGTTGACTGAGCTAGGCTGGTAAGAAGCTATTGTTATTGGGATAGCTGCATTTTTCTATTTGGTTTGGGTGAGTGATGGGGCTGGTGAGTCTGGTTTTATGTTAGGTGAATTGGAGGTTTATCACGATATTGGGGCTATTTACCGGCGTTGCACATGATGCAGATTTTGAAGATGGATCTCCTTGAGTCGTCCTTTGTTCTTAGTCTACAATGATGAGGGCATCGGAGTTGAATCCTTAAGTCGTACCCCACTTGTAGGATGTAGTGTCTTTAGAAATCTGACTATATGCAAGTGAAGCGAGTGAATCGATCAAAGTCGATGTCCTATAGTAAAGCTTCTTAATTCGTAGTTTCGAATAATCTATATAATATACCCACCCTCTCAGGCTCCCGCACACAACAGAAGTCCAAAGTCCTTATAACCGCTAATGAAGAGCTTACAGATTATAATAGCACATATCAATCTACGAATTTTCCATCCCCAACTTCCAAGGGCGCCTTGTAGTTAGTTATATAGACTGACTGGTATACTAGAATATCTATCCTACTTTCCACGAAAAAACCTTATTCATTCTACAAGTAATTTACTCATAAATCGACGAGTGATAAACAAACTCAATATTGAAAAAACACATGATTTCCTTCCTCGAAAAGGTTTGGGCTGATGGTCTTACAATCATTGAATAAACAAAACAATTTGCTAGCAAACCTGGCTTGTGTCCGAATTAGGTGGAGATTTGAAGTTCACTACTCAGTATGATTATTTTTGTTTTTTGAGTTTTGAGTTTGCTAACTCCAGTCAGTAGTTCATTGGTTCATGGGAAGCATTAGCGTGTATACAATACAAACAGTCCGCACAAGATGAGTCGTTTATTTAGACAAGCATGGAATGGAATCGATCGCAAGCATTTGGTACTGGGTCTGTTTGCATCTTGCATCTTGCATATACCATTTTAGCCTAATACCAACACCAATTTTAATCCTAATTCTCACAGTTTCACCATCATGCATACGCACGTCTGTGCAACTATATAATGCGCTATAGGGACAGGTTGCTAAACAAAGTGAGAATACACTGCTCGCAATATCTCACTTCTTTCAATAACATCTTCAATTCGTCTTGTTGGCCTGATATACTTACTATAAGTAACGTGCTATTTGATTCCTATCTGCAGATATTATGTTAATCCCTACTACAGTAAGGTTCGTGAGTGCGAGCACCAATAAATAAATCCTCAAAAGTCAGGCTTTCCATCACCATTACTCAGTAGATTAAAAACATTGATTATTTCCTCCCTGCGGAAGCTTATGATATACACCCCAGTACGAGTATTATACTGCGAGATCGAGAGTTTGGATTTAGTTATTTATACGGATAGATGTATTGGAGCGTTAGCGTTAGCGTTAGAGTTAGGGAATGGGAATAACACTTGCTATTATATTAACAGCACGAAAAACGAAAGACTAAAAATGAGAAGAGATGGGATGAAAAAACTGAGGCAACGAGCAATGATGTGAAAGTCTAACGGCGATTCAGAGTCTGGGAGTAGTGAGAGACTTATTTTATCTCTAGACGCAAGATGTGCCATAGCACTGCCGGTCTGCGGTCTGCGATATACACGACGGAAATTAGAAACTGGTTTTGATGGATTTAACAATACAATGAGGACGTGAGTATAAGTGAGTGAGCGAGTGACTGACTGACTGACTGACTGACGAAGGATGACTAGACAAAACAACTATGTAAATTTATATTGAGGATACAATAAGATAACCAGGACAAACCTGTACAAGTACAATGTACCTAAGTATCATAACAACTACATAACATAGCAAGCAATTCTAAAACCAGAAAACAAGCGCAAAAATGTGATCAAAAAGTTACCTACTATTCGCTAGTGTACGATGATGGATTCTCATGTCAGAGTTTCATCCATATATTTTTTGTAATCTTACTATAACCAATCCTATGCCTAGCCTATGCTTATGCCTACGCCCATGGCCACAAATCTTCCACCGATTGAACAGATTAAATACCGATCCGATAAGAAACAAGACGAAGTAAGTGATCCCATCCCATCTCATCATATCCACCGAATCCCCACTATCATAAAGCATCGTTCATATACACCCAAGGGAGAATCCAAAAATAGAGATATGAAACGAGAATTGAAAGGATATTTATTATACACGTGTGAAAATTCTCCATGCATTTTGTTAAAACTCATCATTCGTAACGGAGGAAAAAGAATTTTCTATTGAAAAGAGAGAGGTGGATGCTTATGTGAAGCATGTTATCTCTTATTCACTACCACGTTGAGACAATCCAATACCTATGAATTGTTAGTAATAGTATAGTGGTACGGTAGAGTATGATGATGAGCTTACCCCTTCTGTAATTGTCCCTTGGTTATAAAGATGCTTGCCAATCCCCTTGACGAGCTCCATTTGCTCTTCCGGTGTTAAGCCATTAATCACAGTTTCAATGACACCACCAAGTGATACCTTGTAGATAGCAACAAAGCTGTGGAAATAGACGTAGGCGAAAAATCCCATGATAAATTGACAATCCATACGATCGGTGATTCCACCATGTCCAGGAATTGAGTCGCCAAAGTCCTTGATTTTGAAAGTTCTTTTGAGTCCAGAAGCGAAAAATCCACCGAATGGTGCGATGAGTGATGCGAAAGTTCCAAATACAAGAATGTGACCTTGCATAGGTGCCATAGAGAAAGATTTCCAAACTGGAAACCAGATGGGTAGTTGATAAGTGTGGGGTAAGAATACCGGATTTGGCGTACACTCAAGACCAGTCCAGAGATTGGCACCCAGATCCTATGAAGGGTTAATTCTGATACGATGAACTAATCAAGGTCAACTTACATTGACAGGGCAGATGAAGTATTTGTACCGCATGAGAACATTAGTCATACCGACACCGAAAATGATTGTGAGAATCCAAGCTCCAACAAAACCTTCCACAGTCTTTTTGGGTGAGAGCTTAATGAGTTGAGTTCGACCAAATGTGATACCGCAGATATAAGCAAATATATCATTGCAGATAACCAAAGACACTGGTAAAAAGAACCAAATCATTCCCTCGAAGACATTGTTCATAATGAAATGAGCTTGGACCACAATAAGGATGAGGGCCATATGAGTCCAGGCAAATTGTGTGAATTGGAACTTGTAGTGTCCTGCTTGAAGAGACGCAACGAAGAATACGAATCCTTAACACTGTCAGCATTGCCCGATAGTTCCCCAGAGATTCTCCTTACCAATAGTATAAAGCATGAAGCTGATGAACCTGTGATGTGTTGCAAAGGGCAATAAGACTTTATCGACCAACACAATGTGTTTGAAATAGTATATCACACTCTCGCCATATAAGAAGTACATGGTAGTCGCCAACCAATACCAATTCAGAGCCTTCGTGAAGCGCAATCGACGAGCTCGACTAGGTACATTTGCAATCGCAATGACTTCCTTGAACGAGATTATCTGTACTGCGGTGACAATCGCAATGATATATATGTGACCCATGAACATTGAGGCAAAGAACCCCCCTATCATCACAAATGTCCATATCGATCGTGTAATAAAGGTTTGCTTCTTCTTTTCGTATTCCGATGGCACAACAACCGCCTGCGACCAAGATAGTTAGCTAGAGCTCCAATATCATTGCTTGAGCGCAAATCTCACATCATGTTTCTTCTCATCGCTTGCGCCATCTGTCTTCCCTGGCGAGTTTGGCTCCGACGCAGCTTCACTGATATCTGAGAAACTACTCCTGCGACCATCACTACCAGTACGGCCATTCCTATGATTGAATTTGATACCCCGTGGTTTCGCCATTTCTGCAGAGCCGGGAGTGCGCGTTTGCAAATTCTAATGAGGTCTTGGCACAGTGATTTTCCTCTTCGTCCTTTCAATTAATTGTGTCGCCAAAGCCGGATGCGTCAAAAGTACCTTCAAAATCCACCACTCCGCATGCGTAAGGACGAATGATGCGTCAAATAGAACTGCCCCGAGAATGAAGTTAAATGTCGTGAAGACGACGAATATAGTTGAGGTCGAGGTGGCCTTTGAAGTGGATGTTCTTTTTTTTTTAGTGAGGTGAAGTTGTGGCTCTTCTCTCGCTCCTACGTCAGCCAAAAAACCCCTGGAAAATCCGAAGGATCAGAGCGTTTGCTTGTGATATTCGCGTTAATTGAAGCCCTGGTTTTAATGAAGCAAATGAAGAAAATCAATAAATTAAATTCACAAGATTTCAAAGAACAATACCAGTAGTTTAGTTAATAGTAAATTTTTAAAAAGAGATAAACTCCATACAAATATATACTCGAGTAGATTGATTAGATAATTAGTCGTATTACCATGTACTCGAGTACTTATTGTTCAATCCGCCGGTAAAAGACTGTGGAACATTATAATTCCGAGTTCCGAAAGGCGGTGGCAGTAACTTATTTGATTGAATCAGTTATCTATCTCAGCACAGCATCTTATTAGAATTACAAAATATAATAAAACAATGCACCATCAATGTTTTCAAAGAGTTCGATAACCACGGAGATGGTATGGCACCTCACGAAGATGGAGAGAATAACTTCTCTGATGATGATTTCCTCAACGATATACCAGCAGATGCCTTAGAAGAACTTGAGAACAATGCCATAGCCTTCACTCAGGCTCAGATCAAAGCCCCTCCTTCTTCTGATTATGGGGACGAGCTCGACGATGATGATTTAGATGATGCCGTCGTTATCGATGAAGCCAGGAGTGCGCCTGCAGTTGTACCTTTTGTGCATAGGAATAATCTCAATCCAGTCGCCCGACAAGAACAAATTCGAAAGCAACGTTACGGTGACACAAACATTGTAAACAGACATAGGAATAATATCGGCCCTCCTCTTCCTCATCAGTCAAATCGTTTACCACAGCCATTGTCAGTTCCAATTCAACGAGAGGCTTCGAACCCCTCTCGGCAAAGGAGTCAATCGATTGCGGATGGTGACAATGACGCCCTCAAAAAATTGGTCCAGGAGGTATTTGTGGTTCCAATATATCACCCATGAACAAAGTCACTGACTATTTTACTACGGTAGTTGCAACAAAAAAACAAAGCCCTCGAACAAGAAGCTTTATCAAAAAATGGCGAAATCTCTATTTTACGTGGGAAGATGGGCAAATCAGAAACGGAATACGAACGCACACAAGTAGCGAAAGAAAAGTTACATGCGGAGCAATTAGCAAAGCTGCAGAAAGATAGAGAGGCTGCAGAGATTGCTGCTAGGAACGCTGCAATCGAACGAGATTTCATAAAACAAGACCTATTCGAAGAGACCGAAAGAGTCAAAAAGTTAAACAAAGCTAAAAATACTAAAGATGTACAAGTTATGACCCCAAAGAAGACGAAACCAATGCCATTTAGGGACGGATTTGATGATGACGAAATTGAGGTACTTTCTCCTAGCAAGATATCCCCATCGAAGTTTCAGAAACGTCAACCTGGTACGCCTTCAAGAGCAGCAAAACGTAAACGGAAAGTAAACGATAGCCCTTCAGCTAGTGCTTTGGATATGATCCCTATTCCAGATGAACCTTTACAGCTACAGAAGATTCCCTTGTTGGATGAATCAATATTAGAAAGGCTTGTTTTACAAGATGATCGATCAGACTTTCTTGCAGCAATGCTCGATCATCGACCTAACCGTGATCACTTGAAGACTCTAGAAGCACTTAGCAAGCATGCTCTAACATCATCCCCAAATGAATCGCTTTCATCATTGATTCTTGGAGAGATGCCGAGGATTGGTGCAAAAAAGCCTATATCAGAAGTACCATCGGAGTTTTGCTTGTTTCTAATACATTTATGGTCCAAGTGTATAGACGAGAAATGTTTTTCCCCTATTTACTTATTTGTGGACATTCTCACATACGCGCTGGAGCTAAAAACACTCTCCATTGTACCGCATATCATCGACCAACTTATTCCCCTGGTACAAAAAACGGCTGATCTCGTCGCGATCCCTCGTTTCATTAGCGAGCCAACTGATCCTTTTGACAAAGACATCAACGTATCGACTTGTCTAGCTCTCACTCATCTTACAGCATTGGGTTGCGTCCCAGAACTAGAACATATCACCAGATTTTGGAAATTAGTGCGATGGGACTTTGTTCTCCTTATGCTTAGTCAAAAGCAGGCAGTCGCAGATTTTGAATGGATGTTGCGAATTCTGTCTACTGGTATTTTGAAAGACAGTTTTGGTAGTATTCAAGAAGCTAGTCCACAATTCAGAGCATCTACAAATGCCGCTCATATTATAGAACGTCTGACATACCCATTATTCGAGGTTCTTTGCCTGCCAACGAATGTGGCTGAGGCTGATGCCGATGTCGTCCTGAAGCTACGTCTTCAAATCGTATCATTGATGACTGGTATGACCCGATCGCCATATGCTGGAAATGCACTCGCTTCCCATCCAACTGCCATCGGAAGACTGGTCAGTCTGATCAGCGATGAACTAGATATCTTATATGATCATAAGGCAGGTCGTGACGATAGGTATTTGATCCTTTTGTCCTTCAATATATTTCACTAATGATCTCTAGTGCTCGCCTCATAAGTCTCGCAACTCGTCTCCTTTTCCACCTTGTCACCCGGTATGAATTCGATATGCAAAAGAAACTATCAGTGATTCGCGGCGGGTCGCAAAAATATCTACTTTGTCTGGCCAGATTGAACTTTTCAGAGGATGATCTAGTTTTCGAGTCGGGTATTGATCCAGATATACCTGGATGTGCATTAGAAATGCTGGAGATGGTCGTCACACCCGAGGAAGGAGAGGCTATACAAGAAGCGTTATCGAATGAATGATTGATTGATGATCAGGGGTATTTCCATGCATACATGTTGTTGGTGTCTAGGAGTGGGAATTTATAATTATAACGGATTTGATATCAAGCGAGGCGTTGGAAGGGTGGTTTGGCAGAGAATATATCACTGTTAAGTAATGCAAATATTATGGTCTCCAATCGTCACTTTCTTTTGCATTTATGCCTCTGTATCCCGATCCTCATTTCCGGAATTCTTCTCTTGTCCTTTCAAATAGGACCTGGTGTTTATTTATCTCGACAGTACCGGTATTTGATGTTTTGGACAATTTATTACTAGTCTCATTTCATCTGTATCTACTCATCAAACCAAACCCCCAGCGAACTGCCAATTAATTATCTCCTCATCATGAATCACATCACCATCCCTTTACCTCATCT